TGCAATACTCACTACTCTTGATTACTTTTAAAAGGTATTTTACTTATACTTTGAATAATATTGACAACAGATACTTTTATACTACTTGCACTACATTTTTAGGCATGTAATGATACTTTTACTTGAGTATGATTTTTCAGTACTTTTTCCACCACTGATTGTGACCTACAGTAACCTCTGATTAGCTATTAACGAGGTTACTGTAGGTCAAACTATGCTAATGATGTGTCTAATTTGATGTTCATTTTAGGCTAGATATGTAAATACAAATACACCTGTTTTATGAAGAAAAATGCCGTGAACACTTACGATGTACAGTTAAAGTCAGAATTATTAGCCCCGCTTTGAATATTTTTTCTTTTTTAAATATTTCCCAAATTATGTTTAACAGAGTGAGGAAATTTTCACAGTATGTCTGATAATATTTTTTCTTCTGGAGAAAGTCTTAATTGCTAATAAGGTTGCCTAATAACCCTAACCTTCCTAGTTAACCTAATTAACCTAGTTAACCCTTTAAATGTCACTTTATGCTGTATAGAAGTGTTTTAAAGAATATCTAGTAAAATATTATTGACTGTCATCATGACAAAGATTAAATAAATTAGTTATTAGAAATGAGTTGTTAAAACTATTATGTTTAGAAATGTTTATAAAAATCTTCTCTCAGTTAAACAGAAATTGGGGAATAAAATAAACAAAAATAAATTAAGTTAAAAATGAACTATTCTAGTATATGTTCTACGCAGCCGATGCTGTTCCAGTCACAATCCAGTACTAGGAAACACCCATACACACTTATTCACGCACATACACTCATACACTACGGCCAATTTAGTTTATTCAAATGACTTGTAGCGCATGTCTTTGGACTGTAGGGGAAACCGGAGTAGAGGTCCGCGGGACCCGACCAGATTTCTGCGGGCCGGGAATACATTTCCGAATAAATCGCGGGAGCGGTCGGTAACGGGTTTAATTTGGGACGGGAGCGGGCTGTCTAGCAATATCGCGGATATTGCTATGCGAATGATAGAGAGAGAGCTTTGCCTGTGTGAGTGCTTGGTGCTTGTGTGTGTATGTTAGTGCGCACGCACGCGAATGAGAGAGAGAGAGAGAGAGCTTTCCCAGAAAATACACTCGGGCCAGTTCCGGCTAGATTCTCGCCTGCCGGAGACTTACCACTCGGCCCGGCTCCGGCTGCCGGACTCGGGCCGGATGCTTGTGGACACACTGCCCGATTTCGGCCTGAATCAATCGGGCCAGATGCGGCAGCTGTAAGCGAGCCAACGCTGCCGCATCCGCGCCGGAATCGGCCCGAGAGTAATGTGCGCTGCGGCCCGGAGCTGGCGCGACTCAGTATTTATATACCTTTATATAAAACCTTTTGGTATTACATTGGTACTTGATACATGGTTACAGCAAACGCCTGTGTGTCTGCTTGGTGCTTGTGTGTGTGTTAGTGCGCGCGTGTATGAGAGAGAGAGAGCTTTGTCAGTGTGTGTGTGCTTGGTGCTGTGTGTGTGTGTGTTTATACAGACAGCTTGGCTGTCTGGACTGTATAGTTGGGTGATTTTCGGTTTTGTTCTCCCCCGCTCTTTAGCTGGATCGGGCGCGGGTCGGGCAGCGGGACAACAAATGCTTAATATAAGCGGGAACGGTAGGGTTCAGGCTAAAAACTGGCGGGTGCGGGCGGGAGCGGGATTCAAAATTCAGTCCCGTGCAGATCTCTAAACCGGAGCACCCAGAGGAAGCCTACATCAGTACGGGAAGAACATGCAAACTACTTACAGAAATTTTAAGAACCCCAACTGGAACTCAAACTAGTGACCTTCTTGCTGTGAGGCGACAGTGCTAACTACTGAGCCACCGTTTCTATTTCCTGACCTTTTTATGTAAATTAGCATAAGTATTCACCCTTCAAAGACAAGCTGCTTCTTTTTTTGGTTGATGTTGATGGAGGTTTTTGGCCAGTTCTTGCAGAGTATTATTGAAGTTGTGGCTCGGCATTTGCTCTGGTCTCCTGAGAGTGTGGAGATGCTTCACATTGGACTGCTTTGAGTGACAGACGATGAACTGATACAGCAGGGAATCATTGGAGAGAAGGACAGCTTCAAACAGCATGCCACTGTGTGACTGGGCCTGTGTTTAATGTAGGAATTAATGCATGCTTGGCTTGGTCTCGCTCACATATACGTGACTGGCATATTGTCTCATCTCTTGTATCTGTGTGAGTGAGAGACACCGCAGGACCTGCACATCTGACTAAACTTCAGATCATGCCTGGAGTCAAAACTGCTGGTTTAGAGCAGCTGCTGGGTTTGCTGGTTTGAGTTGAAATGCATGCAACTGGCGGTGTGTGAAAATATGATGCAGTGCTTTTGCTTGGTTTTTTAAAATAATATTCATCTTGATAAAAATATTTTTTGCTTAAAAAATGTTTTGATAAATATATAGAAATAACGTTTGGAATTCATATTACAGTATAAACAAGTATTTTGTTTACATTTGCAAAAATATACTACAATGTTTTTTATTTTATATTCATTTTTTTTTTTTCGGCTTAGTCCCTTTATTAATTAGGGGTCGCCACAGCGGACCTGCCAACTTATCCAGCATATGTTTTACACAGCGGAAGCCCTTCCAGCCACAACCCAGCCCTGGGAAACACCAATACACACTCATATATGACCAGTTTAGCTTATTCAATTCCTCTATATGCCTTTGGACTGTGTGGAAACCGGAGCACCCAGAGGAAACCCATGCCAACATGGGGAGAACATGCAAACTCCACACAGAAATGCCAACTGACCCAGCCGGGGCTTGAACCAGCAACCTTCTTGCTGTGAGGCGATTGTGCTGCCCACTTTTATATTTTATATTTTAATTTATATTTTAGATTATATTTTATTTTATATTTTAATTTATATTTTATTTTTTATTTTATTTTAAATGATATTTTACTTGATATTTTATATTTTATTTTATTTCAATTATATTTCATATTTTATTTTATATTTTAGTTTAGATTATATTTTATTTTATATTCTAATTTATTTTAGTTTTCCTTTTTATTTTAGTCTATATTTTAGTTTAAGAAATATTTTATTTTATATTTTAATTTTTTTTCATTTTATTTTATATTTTAGTTTAGATAATATTTTACATTGTAATTTATTCTATCTTATATTTTATCTTAATTAAATTTTTAGTTTAGTTTGTTTTATTTTGTTATATGTTAATTTTGTTTTAAATTGTATTTTATATTTTAGTTAATATTATATTTTATTTTATTTTGTTTTATATTTTAATTTATTTTATATTATATATTAGTTTATTTTTTATTTTAGTTTAGATTGGATTGTAGCTTAGATAATATTTTTTATTGTATTTTTTATATTTTATTTGATACTTTATTTAAATTTTAATTTATTTTATATTTTAGTTTAGTTTATTTTTATTTTATTTTAGATTTTAAATTATTTTTAGAAATTACTTTAGCTTATATTTTATTTTATATTTTAGTTTTTACTTTAGTTTAGTTTAGTTAAGGTCTAAAGCCTGGATTATATTTCTGCGTAAAGTAATCGGTGTGACCCACAGCGCATGTACTGCGCGTAGCTGTGCATTCATACTTCTGCACGCTGTTTCTGTTGCACTGCAATAACAACACATTCTCACTCCCAACTCGTCACATACTGACGCTTGGTCAGGAACCCTCGGCGTCAGTTATTGACGCACAGGGTACCCCTTTAGCGTCATATTTAGACGTGCAGGGATTCCCTATAGAATCTGTGCCTGAGCCTGAGGCGTCATAGGGAGACGCTGGAGGCTCGTATAATTACCAATAGATGTCAACGCAATTTTTAAAACCTGATTTACGCCTATTATCTTAGTTTTCTTATTTTAAAAATATGTAATTTTTATTTTGTTCATGAAAAGCGTCTGTAAACGGGGTCGAAACTACTGTATGAATAAACTTCGGCCCACGTGACATCCCTTCACGGTGAGTTTAACGCCGCTCTGCTATTGGTCAAACTGCATCAGCGGTGAGTTCTCAGATGAGTTCAACTGTCAACATTAAATATTACGTTAATGCTGCATAATATATTTTTATTGGAGATTAGTTGGTGTTTATAAATATGTTATCATTTACTTTATATTTAATGAGTGAAAATATATTCGGTTGTCCAGTTTAGGGTAACTATGCCTAATAAAACTTTGATTCATTCATATTATTTATTATTTTTTTTACTTTAAAAAAATATTAAATTTCAAGTACTAAGTTTAAAAATGTTTTCGGCTGATATTTTTCATTTTAAATTATTTATTAAAGTTGGGGTCATTGTATGTGGCGATCTATTTTT